ACCTCCTCCACGGGTCGCCTACGGCCCAGACGCCGCGGGACCGCAGGAAGCGCCCGTTTCCAACGCTTGGCTCCGACCTCAGGTTGCCACAGCACGCCGCCGCTCGGGACGAGCGCGGCATGATCCGAGTGCCCTACTGCGGCCTCGGGGGGGATGGGGGGCGAGACGGCTGCCCAAGTCAGGCCCAGCAGCCAGATCTGCGTGGCTGGTGGCACGTCAAGTGCGTCAGGATAAGTAGTGCCTGGGACGCGGCCTCTGGGGGGCTCTTCGGGTGCCTCTTAGAGCTTATGTGGGGCCTCTCGGCAGCCTCTCGGGGCCTCGTGGGGGGGCCAGTGGGGGCTTCAAGGTTTGGGGGCATCTTGGTGCCTCATGGGCGCTTTCTGGGGCGGAAGGCTCGGACGTTCGGTTCGTAGTCACCTCATTGGGCCCCTTTTTCGGTGCCGTGTTGGTGCCTTTTTTGCCGTATCGGGCCCCTCTTGGGCTTAAGAGGTAGAGGTTTCTGGGGCCGTTTTGGAGCGATTTGGGGGGCTTCTTGGGACGTATTGGAGCGTCGGAAGTTCGAAAAGTGCAGAACCCAAGAACCGTTGAACACCTGAAGAGAAGCCTCTCGGGGCCCTCTGGGGAAGGCCCTTGGATGCCGATTGGGACGTCTTGGGCGGTGTTCGGCCGACTGGAGGCCCTCTTGGGCGTCGTGGACCGATATTTCAGCGATTCGGGCCCCCATTAGACCGCCATGGGGGCCTCTTGGGGCCTTCGTGGTCCGTCTTGGGGCACTCTTCGGCTTGAAAAAAAGAAAATACAGGAGTGAGGACTGAGGCTCCAGGGTGGAGCAAGGGACCTGGAGACACTCGACTTCGTGCCACAGTGGCACGGTGGTGGATACCTACATGTATGTATGTATGCACGCAGGCAGGCAGGCAGGCAGGCAGGCAGGGAGGTAGGTAGATAGGTAGACAGACAGGCAGGTAGGTAGGTAGGTGTATATGTGTGGTTGTGTGTATGTGTGTATGTATGTATGCATGCATGCATGCATTGATGCATGCATGTATGTATGTATGTGTGTATGTATGTACGTCTGTAAATGTGTGTACGTATATATGTATGTATGTATGTATGTATGTATGTATGTATGTGTATGTATGCATGTATGTGTGTGTATGTATGTATGTATGTATGTATGTATGTATGTATGTATGTGTGTATGTATGTGTATGTATGTATGTATGTATGTATGTATGTATGTATGTGTGTATGTGTATGTATGTATGTATGTATGTATGCATGTATGTATGTATGTATGTATGTATGTATGTATGTGTGTATGCATGTGTATATGTGTGTATATAAGTTTGTATGGATGTATGCATGTATGCATGTACTATGCCTACAGGTATGTATGCATGCACGTATGTGCGTGTTCATGTATGCATGTATGCATGCATGCATGTATGTATGCATGCATATATGCGTGTGCACATGTATGCATGTATGAATGTATGGATGGATGGATGGATGTGTTGATGGATGGATGGATGGATGGATGGATGGATGGCTGGATGGAATGATGACTGGATGGATGGATGGTTGGATGGATGGATGCATGGCTATATGTATGGTTGTACGTGTGCATGTATGTATGTATGTATGTCTGTGTGCATGTATATATGCGTGTATATATACATATATGCATGTAACTGTGTACGTATGTATGCACGCACGCGTATAACTATGCATGCATGTATGCATGTATGTATGTATGCATGGATGGATGCATGTGTGTATGTGTGTATGTATGTATGAATATACGTACGTACGTACGTACGTATGTATGTATGTATGTATGTATGTATGTATGCGTGTATGAATGTATGTATGTATGTATGTACGTATGTATGTATGCATGCATGTATGTATGTGTATAGTTGGAGGTATATAAATACAGTGTACCTTGAGAGTTATGTGCGGACGATATATATAGAGAGAGTCTACAGCGCTACGCACCGTGCGCATACATGTTTCCCTGGTTGGTTGGCGACTGTACGGATGCCTGCCATGGCCTGCCATAGCTGGGGTGCATGTGCAGGCACGCATGCTTGACTTGTTTTGCCAGTTGTCATCTTATGTGCCTGAAGCGAGCGAAGCCACGGTACAATGACCGACTCAGGAAAGCACAGTTGGACCACGAGGACATAATTATCCATTTGGTGGTGGCGTCGGGAAGTCAGATCCGAGGCTGTGAAGTGGGACGAGCGAGCAGCAGAAAAACAGGAGGAGGCAGCGGAGGAGGAGTGAGAGGAGGAGCAGGGAAAGGACGAGGACGAGGAGGAGGAGGAGGAGGAGCGAGCAGCACAAAACCAGGACTGCGAAGCGCGGCGCCAGGCAACATGAGATCCTGTGACGTCACGAACTACTGCGAGGAAGGGGGCGAGGACGCCTTCCGCGGCGGTGAGTCGACTGGCGAATCTCGCACCAGTTGCTCGTTCCGCGTCCCCAGTTGGTACTTAACGAAGCCGTCTGAGCTCCTCCTCCTCCTCCTCCTCCTCCTCTTCCTCCTCTCCTCCTCCTCGCTCCTCCTCCTCCTCCTCCTCCTCCTCCTCCTCCTCCTCCTCCTCCTCCTCCTCCTCCTCCTCCTCCTCCTCCTCCTCCTCCTCCTCCTCCCTCCTCCTCCTCCTCTCCTCCTCCTCCTCCTCCTCCTCCTCCTCCTCCTCCTCCTCTCCTCCTCCTCCTCCTCCTCCTCCTCCTCCTCCTCTTCCTCCTCCTCCTCTCCTCCTCCTCCTCCTCCTCCTCCTCCTCCTCCTCCTCCTCCTCCTCCTCCTCCTCCTCCTCCTCCTCCTCCTCCTCCTCCTCCTCCTCCTCCCTCCTCCTCCTCCTCCCTCCTCCCTCCTCCCTCCTCCCTCCTCCCTCCTCCGCCCTCCTCCGCCCTCCTCTCCTCCTCCCTCCTCCCCCCTTCCCTCCTCCCTCCTCCCTCCTCCCTCCTCCCTCCTCCCTCCTCCCTCCTCCCTCCTCCCTCCTCCCTCCCTCCTCTCCTCCTCCCTCCTCCTCCTCCTCCTCCTCCTCCTCCTCCTCCTCCTCCTCCTCCTCCTCCCCTCCTCCTCCTCCTCCTCCTCCTCCTCCTCCTCCTCCTCGGGTCGCCTACTGGCCCGGGGGAAACCGCGCACCTGGTGGTACTTGCGAAGCCGTTTGAGCAGGCGGCGTAGACGGCTTCGTAAGTGACACTGAGATCGGCCATGACACGATTAGGTCAGAGCATCGGTGGTGGCAGAACTGTGACCAATACTCTTGCCCCTCGCGTCCCCTCCGACTCCCTGCGCCCGCGGCAGTGAGTCGACTGGTCGACTGCCGAATCTCGCACGCACCACACGATTCCACACCCGCATGGTTGGGTTGGAGCATCGGCGGTGGTGGAGACACGACCAAGACTGTTGCCATCCACGACCCCTCTGCAGGGGGGCCCCGGTTGGGAGGAGAGCGCTGCCAAGCGCGCGGGAGAAGGCGGACGATCCCACGGGGAGGCAGGGGAGAGGATGAAGGGGAGGGGGAGGGGAGGGGAGGAGGAGGAGGAGGAGGAGGAGGAGGAGGAGGAGGAGGAGGAGGAGGAGAGGAGGAGGAGGAGGAGGAGGAGGATGAGGAGGAGGAGGAGGAGGAGGAGGAGGAGGAGGAGGAGGAGGAGGAGGAGGAGGAGGAGGAGGAGGAGGAGGAGGAGGAGGAGGAGGAGGAGGAGGAGGAGGAGGAGGAGGAGGAGGAGGAGGAGGAGGAGGAGGAGGAGGAGGAGGAGGAGGAGAGGAGGAGAGGAGGAGGAGGAGGAGGAGGAGAGGAGGAGAGGAGGAGAGGAGGAGGAGGAGGAGAGGAGGAGGAGGAGGAGGAGAGGAGGAGGAGGAGGAGGAGGAGGAGGAGGAGGAGGAGGAGGAGGAGGAGGCCGAGGAGGAGATTGAGGAGGAGGTCGAGGCCTCGACTGTCGCCCGGATCCTGCTGCAGGCGGCTCCGGCCTGCACGGCCCGGCGTGGTCATCCTGGCTGCAGCGAGAGAGACGTCCCGAGTGATTTGAGTATAGGGCCACGAAGGGGCGACACCGGGGAGGAACGGGGGACGGGGTGACAAGGCGAGGGAGACGACGAGGAGGAGGAGGAGAAGGAGGAGGAGGAGGAGGAGGAGAAGGAGGAGGAGGAGGAGGAGGAGATGGAGGAGGAGGGGAAGGAGGAGGCGAAGGAGGATGGGAGTGGGAAGGGGAATGGGAAGGGCAAGGGGAAGGGGAATGGCAAGGGAGGGACGGGATCAGGGGAGGGAAGGGGAAGGGAGCGGAGGGGAGTGAGGACAGGCGAGGCGAATGTGCGCGAGGGACCCCGCGCAGGACGACCAGGACATCGTCCAGGACAAGTTCGCCGAGGACGTCGTCACCAGCGAGTTCAGGGCTGTCGCGAAGCCCCGCGTGCGCGCCTGAAGCGGGCCCCGCGCCCGTGTCCCAGGGTACGGCAGGGTCGCGCCGCCTGGACGCTGCGGCTGCGCCACGTGGGCTCCTGGCCTGTGCGGGGTTTTGGGGGGGAGGGGCCTCCCCGTGGCCACGGCTGGGCGCAGCTCGAGAAAATGGTCGGCATGGTGCCCGGGAGGGGTCCTGGCTCCACATGGGAACAGCCCACGGCGCGACACTTGGACGGATAGCCGGGCCTGGCCTCCGAAGGAGGAGCTCGTTCACGATGGAACGGTCTGGGCGGCGTCGGAGCCCGGGGCCCACGGCGCGGCGGGAGCTTGCCGTACCCCTGCGCTTCCATCGATGACCTTGTGGGTCACTGCAGCAGCTTCGACCCCGGTTCTGCCGTGTTCCTTCCCCCGTCATCGCGCTGCTTACGCGATCTCGGCGCAATGCGCCCGCAGAGATCGGCAGCGTAAGTACGCCGAGCACTTCCATCGAGCCTTCAGCCAGTGAACGCGGGGCGCGTTTCAACTCACAGGTGGCATGGCCGTCCCAGTACGCACGATGCGGCGAACCTGCGAGCCAACTTTTAACTTCCAGCATCCGCTGCCAGCAGGGCTGGTTAGACGGCGCTGCAGGGCGGGCTGCTGAGCACGCGTGTCCGCGTCGATCGCATGAGGCTGGCCACTCGCCCTCGGACGCCGGCGGATGCGGGAAAGCAGGGAGCACCTTCGAGCCACGCGAGCAGCGCTAGCATATTCATGTTCTGGCCGAGTGCAGAGAATCGCTCACTTGGGCAGGCGATGTGCCACTCATGGCCTGAGCGAGCAAGTCCGTGTAAACCATTCGACGCGGAGATCTTTATACGTGGATGTTTTGTCGAGCGCTTTCCTTTGGGGGGTCGTCTGTGTATGAGTGAGCCTGACACTGAGCGAGGCAAAGTGTGAGCGGCTGAGTATGGGCGAGTCTGGGCGGGACTGAGTTTGGGCATGATCGGCTGGGTACAAGGGACTCTGGGGATGAGCGGGTCTGAGTGGGCTTGAGTGTGAGTGGATCTGAGTACAAGAAGGTCTGAGCATGAGGGAAGGGATCCTGGGACCTCGGGCCTCCTGGCCCTCCTGTGGTCTCCTTCAGCCTCCTGGGACCTCCGGAGGCTTCCCGGGGCCTCCTGAGGCTCTCTTCGGTTTCCTGAGGCTTGTTGGGGTCTCATGGGGAGTCTCCTCGCGTTCTGCAGCTTTATGGGGCCTCTTGGAGCTTGCGGAGGCTTCCTTCGCAAGAATAAGCCTGGTCGACACCTTCGTGGGAAGCCCCAGCGCGGTGCGAGCTATATCGCGGTGGCCATTGTCTCTGAAGAGAGATGCGCGGAATTCCTAAACTTGGTGTTCCCCCCGAGAGGTCCCACCAATCGAGGGGCGAACGGGCCTGTGGGGCTTTAAAGCGAGACGTGTCATCTTCCAAGAAGCGAGCGCTCTATCCAGCTGCCTGCGGCAAGCCCCGCCACCGTGCCAGCCCAGTACTCTCGGAGCCGACTGTTCGAGCAGCGACATGGAGCTGTCACGTATGAGTCGAGTGGCGTCAAAGGTTCTTGGTGGCCCTCTTGGGTCGTCTTGGGGCTGTCTTGAGCCTTGGGCTCCTGTGCTTCAGCCTTGAGGCTCCTCTTGAGCTGTCTGTGAGCCCGATGTCTCTTGAGGCCGTCTTGTACTGCCCTGGGGCACAAGGCGCCAATTTAATCGTGTGTGGCCCCACGATGTTTGTCGTTATTGTGCGATATACCATTATCGCGCGATCCAGAGAAAGGGAGCATCAAGAGCGGGCACAAGCATTCGCGGGGGACGGTGGCTTCAGGCTGCAAACACCGGCAAAACCAGGCGAACTACAAAGTAGTGCCTGTGGGATTGCGTGTTCTTGCAGTGATTAAGGGCAAAGGTATATAGTTGATAAAGTAAGACTTGTACCAGTTTGGACACCCGCCTTTGCCAGGTAATGGCTCCGCTTTTCCTTAGCACGGATCCAGCGCGGGACCGAAGCTGGTTTATTGCATCGTCGAGTCTTTGTTGCGATGTGGCGTCAGAGCAGCTCATCCTTCGTTTTCTCTTACATGACCCTGAAGATTTCCCGACAACTGCACTTGAGCCGGCGCCGGGCTCGTTGACGAAGATGTTTTCTGGGACTTGTTATCGTTTTCCTTATATCCCTCCTCTTTCGCTGTTGGCTATATTTACATTGGCCTCGCTTCATCGCTGTCGCTGCTATTTGCATTGGCTGCCAGCCTTGTCCGCCTGTTCCGCTGATGCACAGGCTTCGAGAGGACGGTCACACACGTCCGTAATCCTTAATTGCCCCGACGGTAGTGCGATGCAAGATGTTACGATCTTTGTTCCCGGGGAAGCTGGGTGGATGAGCAGGGACGGAGGCACGCAGATAGCATGGGCGCAGTACTCAATGATTGGTGCCAGTGAAAGAACAATGAAGGTCTGACGTCTTAATACGTATCGTGGATGGGCGCACCCAGTTGATCACGAGGTAGCCATTGCAGCAGTTTTGAGAACTTCGAACAGCGATGTATACATCGCTCCGCTATCTCCGATTAAACACATCTGGAATAAAAGCACACCGTGGGCTAGAAAAGTGCGAACACATATATGAATGATCTTTCCAACACGGATCCTGGCATGCACGCATGGTGGAGCGATTGCACGAACGACAAACGTGCACCCAGCCCCAGCACACATGAGAATGCGAAATGGATCCAGACAGCCAGGGAATGGGCGCAGAGTCGGTCTGAGGAGCCAGCAGCAGCCACCAGAAGAGTTGGAGAAACAGTGCTGGTGCGACTTTCGTGGTCTTGGGACGGAAGGGGAGGGGGTATGTGGGCGTCGTTTTCGGTCTTATGCGGCGCTGGCAGCACGCAGGCTAGTGCCACTCACCAACAAGCTAGTTGCAAGCAGTCAGTGCCCGTGGTGTCAGTCGACCCTCGCCACTCGAAAGATAGCAGCTGATCACGTAGTGCGAGCAGTGGCGAAGCATGGCTTTCGCCGTGTTGACAACTCACGATGGTTACGCCCAGTTGCTGAGACGAGAGAATTAATTTGCAGCGTTCGGGAGTATCACGCCAAGGATTTCGACGATCTCCAAGAGCACGCTACCGTCCAACACCCTGGGCCCGAAGGATGACTTAGGACACGCCATGGCGACAGCACGGAGAGCCACGCGCGGAGCAGTCGACACGGGGGGCGCAGACGGCGGGCGAGAAGGCAGAGGCGGGCAGAAGGGCAAGGGCGGGAGCGAGGAGTCAAAAAAGCAAGTGATCGCCGCAGAGTGCGGAGCAAGTGAGGAGTCAAAAAGCAAGGGGCAAGGGCAAGGGCAAGGGCGGGAGTGAGGAGTCAAAAAAGCCGAGCTTCACATCGCCATCGTACCTTTACAGAAGCTGGGCTCGAAGGTAGCTGCAGACCAGAAGGAGATGTCGAGTACGATCTTCGAGTTGGGGTTCCTCCCCTACATGGCCCAGCCAGATCAGGGCGGGATGGAAGCAGGATCGGCCTATCACGACGTCGCACGAGCACACCGGAAGGGGCGCGGCTAGGGACCCCCATGTCCACGCGTCGCAGCAGGTTTCACAGTAGCGTTGCACGGCGCCTTGAACACCGACCAGTCCGAAGGAGAATACAGCAAGATCCTAGGAGAGCCGATCCAGCTTCTGTCCGTCGAGCAAGGGCCTCCGATAACCAACGAGATGTTCCGCGTCTTCCGCTTGACAGAGGCTAGCCAGCCACACGGGATGGCGGACGCCGATCGCAAAGTCAAGCCCCAGTACGGGATGAGCATGAAAACCGACCTGCCCACGATCTTCCAGCTAGCCACACCAGGAGGCCAGGGCGTCCCAGAGATGCCCCCGGCGATCGACACGAGCAAGCTGCAACGTGCGCTCGACCGGGCTCGTTTCAAGATTGGGGGGGTCAAGCCAGCGGGGCCAGGTGCGCGGAGTTGGAGAGGGCGGTCGAGAGGCAGCTTCGCAACTTTCAGAACATGTCATGAAGCACGCGGAGCAGATAAGTCGGGGCCCTCATAAACTAACCAGCCCGTACAAGTTACTTGATGGAGGAATTGAGAGCGTGAGGGTACTCGCCCAAGCAGTTGAATTCGCTCGCAAACGAAAGGCCGACTCGTTAACAAAGTTCCATATTGGAGCTTGCGGGTTTGGTACGGGTGCTGTAGCTCATGCATGTGCACGTGAGCTACTACCCTATCGCATGACGTCTTGCGGGGGTGGGGGGGGCGTCATTCATCAACGTCTTTTGCTCTCTCCTCGAAGTCGGCTTTCTCGTGGCCGCTGCACTACCACGGGCTGCGATGTCGAGCACCTCTTCCGCGGCTGCCCGTGCGGCGAGAGCTGGTCCCCGTCCTCGCTCGGACAGCCGTGGCCCTGACGCAGACTCCTCCTCCTCCTCCTCCTCCTCCTCCTCCTCCTCCTCCTCCTCCTCCTCCTCCTCCTCCTCTTCACATATCCACGCCGACCCACACGACGGCGTCCCATGTGATAATCTGTCTCAATCGGCGGTGGTCGGCGAGTTCTGTCGTTTGACGGACAGCTTCGCGGGGAGCGACACCCGGTATGAAGTTATGTGGGGCATTTGGTTCGGGAGCTCCATGGATGAAAAGGAGCGCGCCGTTCTCGAGGAACGTAGCGTCCCAGACTGCGACCGCGTGAGTCGCAACGTCATCGAGCATAGTTCTGAACCTGAGCCGTGGTACGGGATAGCCCCCTGAGGGGCAGTGGATTCTCCCTCCTGCCTTGCCTTGGCTGTTAAAAAAATAGTTCTGAACCTGATCCGCATGACGAACACGACGTAGGGGAAGCCCCCTCCCCTTCCTCCTCCTCCTCCACCTCCTCCTCCTCCTCCTCCTCCTCCTCCTCCTCCCTCCCTCCTCCTCCTCCTCCTCCTCCCCTCCTCCTCCTCCTCCTCCTCCTCCTCCTCCTCCTCCTCCTCCTCCTCCTCCTCCTCCTCCTCCTCCTCCTCCCTCCCCTCTCC